GACTGCTGGGGCCTGGGCTGCCCCGATCCCAGTGCTGGAGGACGAGGACAGGTCACCGCAGGACTGGGGTTTACCCCGCACCAGGCTGCAGAGCGGGGCCGAGCAGCACTGTACCCCATGTGTGTGTGTCCGGGGGATCCCACCAGGCTGTGATGCCACTTCTCCCCACGGGCACGCGGGGCAGCCGTGCCCCTGGCTCCATGCTCCCCCTCGCCTCGGCTTCTGTCAGCACCCGGCACTGCCCCATGGCACCGCCGCAGCCTCTGGGGACAATGCGGGGCAGAACAGGGGTCTGCACCAGGGCCACCTCCCCTCTCCTGCCCTGTCCTGGGGAAGGGTCTGTCCATGGGGGCCCTGCAGATGCCCCACAACGTGGGCACGGCCGTCAGGTGGGGGTCAGCCCCCTCACGGGGCCGGCACAGGCCTGATCGTCCCGTCCCTGCTGCAGCCACCACGTTCTGGTTCCCTCCCAAATCCCTGTGCCACGGGGAAGGGACCCTGGTGCTGCCCAGCTCTGCCTGTGGCACTGGCCTGGCGTCCCCAAGGCAGATGGGTTCAAGGGTGCCGTAGTCCTGCTCCCCCGGCACCCCCCGGCTGCGGTGCCCCTGCCCCAAACCCCCGCAGGACCGGGCTGCGGTGACGGGTAGGTGTGACACATAGGAAGGGGGTGATATTTAGGCAGGGCATGACATAAGAGCAAAGTGACATAGAGGGACAGCGTGACATGTCAGGATGGGGCGACCTGAAGGGTCACGGTGACATAGGGATGTGGTGACATGTAGGGGCAGAATGACATGGAGGGACACAGTGCCATGTAAGGCAGGGTGACATGTAGGGACGGTCCCTCGCCCGCAGGTGTCAGCACCGGACCGGAGGGTGCTGGTGGTGGCCGGTGGCCTCTGGCCTGGCCTCGGGGCTGACCTTCGGGGCAGCCCAGGGCTGTCCCCGGGGTGGTGGGGCCGGGGGAACAGCGGACCCTCACTGTGCCCCTCCTGGGCCAGCCCCGGGGTGCGTGGGCAGCGGCAC